TCTGCTTTCCCTCTCTCTTTCTGTCTCTCTCTGGCAAGCCTGTGTACCCTATAGCAAATTCTAAAATAATAATAATAAATTAAATTAAGTAATTATTTTAAAAAATTATTATTGAGCCGTATTATCCAGTTAATTGATAAAAGCGTTATGCTGTCTTTTTAGATTTTATGGTGTTTGGGGTCTTTGTTAGCTTTTTAAATTTCATAATTTATTTATTCCTGATTCTAAGAAAGATTCTGTATTCATGACTTCGTGTTTTTTGTCCTAAAGAGTACCCTAATGCATTTAAGTTTCAGGTCCCACAAACCTAGACCTGCCCCTTCTCACGCCTCTTCCCCGTGCCCTCTGGGGTCCTTCATATTGGATATCCTACTGCTTAGGAAAGTACCTGGTGTATTGTACTTTCAGAAACATATTTGTAAATGAATGAGTGAATGGATGACTCACTGGAGTGTTAGAATGTTAGCTACATAGAACATGAATCTTGCCTGTTTTATTTGTTGCTATGTTCCCACATCCAGAACAGCTCATGGAACACAGCAGGTGCACAGTGTTTTTTTAAAAATTATTTTATTAATTTAATTTTGTTATTATTATTTTTAAAAATTTGACCAGAGAGAGAAAGAGAAAGTGAGAAAGCAAGCAGGCAGGGCCAGGAATTGAACCATGGTCAACCACGTGGGAGTCCAGTGCCTTAACCACCACACCACCTGCTGGCCCCAGCGTTTTTGGTTTTGTTTTTTGAGAATTTTTGCTATAGGGCATGTGCGCTCGCCAGACAGAGAGAGACAGAGAGACAGAAAGCGAGAAATCACCCCCCAGGGGGGATGGCCACGCCGCAATCCCTTCTCCTCCATTCTCCTCTCGGGATCTTAGGCACGCACGCACACGCGCCCGGTGTGAGTTTTAAGCCGCCGGGTCCGGGACGCGAACCGCGGTCGACTACGTGGGAGTCCAGCGACATAGCCATTACGCTAACTGCTGGTTCCCCTGGCCCCAGTGTTTTTAAAAATGAATCCAGGCCTATTCAACTGTCCATTGCCCCCAGTTATTCTCAGTTTACAGAGCACTTCCCAAGATCTTCTCCATAGCTCTCAGAGTGTCGTTTTCAATTTGAGTTAAAGCTACAAGGAGGATCAGAAAAGCGACTTGTCCCAGGTCACTTAGTAAGTGGCAGAGTTGAAGTTCTAATCCTTACCCTCTTCCTCCGTGGCACTCCCAATAAAAAGCCCCATAGCAGATGATGAAGAAGCCTCTGTCTTACAGCCTACAACGGGCAGATTCCGGGAAGAACTATTCTATATGGACACTAGGTGGCGCCCACACACAGAGTAATTATCCTAGTCTCCGTGGGCACAAGGGAAGGAACGCAGAAATATTTCTCACAAGTTCAACTTCCGATGGCCAGGTTCACTTCTGCCCAACTCTCCAACTTTTGCTTCCTTGGCCATTGCTCTGTGGGCCTCAGTTTTATCCTCTGTCAACCATGAATATGTCAGGGTTCCTGTGCATAGTGGGTCTTCAGCAATCATGGTTCTTCTGCAGGGTCCATAGTAATCTCCAGCAATGTGAAATTCTTCTTAGCCCTGCATCTTAGTCGGAGAAAGACTTCCAGAAAGAATGAGAAGGAAGTTCCCTAACGTTTATTACCTACTGTGACTTAGTCACTTACCTAAGATCAAAAAGTAAATTAATGGTGGAGCCAGGATTCAAACTTGGCTTAATATTTGTGATTACGTTCATGCAGATTAAGATCACAACCTAGTATCATTTGCACCCACTATATTGGTAAAAATGATCCAGGAGATGGATGATACCAATTGTGGGCAAGGTGTGGAGCACCAGGAATGCTACACTGCTTGTGAGAGTGTAAATGGATGACCCACTTCGAAAACAGGTTTCTTATAAGCTTGAACACTCACATAGAGTTTGGGTATTTCTTCTCTGAAATGCTTGAGACCAGGAGTGCTCGGACTTTGGATTTCTTTTCTCAGATTTTGGAGTATTTGCATAGACATACTGAGATATCTTGGGGATGGGACCCAAATCTGACCATGAGATTTATCTGTTTCATATACACCCTACATATACGCATGGCTGGATTTCATGTACACCCTACATGGATTGTGATTCTTCACACAAGGTGTGGAATTTTCCAGTTGTGGCATCATATCAGCACTTGAAAAGTTCCAGATTTTGGAGCATTTCTGATTTTTTAGATTAAGGATGTTAAACCTATATCTTCTATTCAGCTTTTTCCGAGAAACTCTTCTTCACTGGGAGACATGAGAAGAGTCCTTACCGTGGCATTGGTAAGAATAACAACAAACTGTCAGTCAGGGACAGGTAGGAGACAGAACCACACTAGTTATTTTAACACAGAGAATTTAATATAAAGCATTGCTAACTAAGAATAAAGTTGTTAGCTAGGTGACTGAAAGGTTATAAAAAGAACCACCAAAGGTAGCAATTGCAGGAAGCACTTCCCACCTCCAGAGTTGAGAGGAATAAAGAAAAGAAGTTAAAACTAACTTTTTTCTTCCTTAAAAAAAAATTTACCACAGAGCATGTGCACTCCGGAGACAGAGAAAGACAGAAAGAGGGAAAGTGAGAAATCACACACCTGTCCCCCAGGGTGGATGGCCATGCCACAATTCCTTCTCCTCCATTCTCTTCTCAGAAGTTTGGGTACACACCCACACAAGCCTAATTTTAAGTCACCAGGTCTGGGAGTTGAACTGCAGTCAGCCATGTGGGAATCCAGCGCCTTAACCACCATACCACCTGCTGTCCCAAAGCTAAAACTACTAAAACTTAAAAACTTAGAGGAGGAGCCCTATGAAGCTTAAATTCAGATGTTTGAGAAGGAAGTTCTGCTCAGCAGGGGCTGGTGTCTTTGCAGTCAGAGAAGGACAAGGAGGTGGGGCAGGGACTCCGACTCCAGAGGAGGTGGTACTGGCCATCTAGTGTGGGTGTCTCTGAACACCAGAGAGAAGTCCTGTGGGACTGAGACTTAGACCCTGGAGAAAGCTGGTGCCACAGGAAGGAACTGCTGCTGTGAGGTGAAGAAGCTTACTAAACGACACTCATAGGGAATAGCAAGTCCACGGGAAGCGGGGGACAAGGAAGGAGCAAGTCCCATCTCTGTACCCTAGCCTAGTCATCTTACTCCACCTGCTTGCTGACAGTCTAGCAACATCTAACAGGGAGCAGCTGGCAACACAGAACTGTGGTTCGTAGGGTTCCTGCCCAAGCATAACACAGCGGGTATTTATTATATGATCAGGTAGTATATTAAAGCCCCAGGATAGAACTGCAGCTTTGACACATTATAATGCATTCCCTCCATGCTGCCTCTGTATGCAATGGATTTACTTCATTTATTTTTATTTATTTATTTATTTATTTATTTTTATTTTTATTTCTGCTATAGGGCACACGTGCTTGCCAGAGAGAGAGACAGAAAGCGAGAAATCCCCCTCCCTCAAAAGTGGGGGGATGGCCGCCCTGCAATCCCTTCTCCTCTCAGGATTTTGTCCATGCACACACATATGCCTGGTGTGAGTTTGAAGCCACCAGGTCTGGGACTCAAACCACAGTTGACTACATGAGAGTCCAGCAACGTAACCATTATGCCATCTGCAGGTTCCTGGATTTCCTTTTTTAAAGCCATAAAAACAACATTCTAACAACATACAAGTAGGTTTAAAAAACCAAAAGACCAACCAAGAATCATATCTTAACACCACTACTTCTTTGTTTTCGCCTTTCGTTTTAGTTTTCCTGGTAGGGAGCTATACTTTTTCAAAGTTACAAGTGTAACACCCCAGAAAAATGAGTTTCCTGCTGTCCCATGAGTCTTGTTGCCTGCTGTTATTCGAAGGTTATTGTCACAATCTCTGAGTGAATGAAATACCATTTCCTTAATGAGTTCTCTTCTCTGCCACTTTAAACATCTGGATTGTATTCCTCAAGACCATTTTGGTTGCAAATAAGGAAAACCTTCCTCTAATCAGCTTAAGCAAAAACAAATTGTTGTGCGTGGCTGTGGGTGGTGGTGGTGGAATTTACTAGCTTAAGTAACTAGAAAGCATAAAAGGGGTATCTCACAAAACTATTGCATCTTCAGAAATGTCATGTGTATTTTATGTTTTTCTATACAAAAAATGCATCATGAGTTTTGCAATGACCCAATAGCTCCTGAATCCAGAGACTATAAAGAGCCAACACTCCTCCTCTCTGTTCATCTCTGTGTGGGTCTCTCTCTACTTCTCTCTGAAGATTAGTTACTTTCTTTCCTGCCACAGGTAGGTCTTCTGCACCTAACTAGGCGTGTAATCTCTGGCAGCCTCAGCTTTGAAATCATAATAGGAAGGGCATCCAGATAGCAGTCCCAGGGAAGGACTGTGACTGGCTCCTTGAGCCACATGCCCATGCATTGGGCCAATCAGGTTGTTAGGGTGATTATAAATGATAAAGTAGGCCAAGTCTGAAACCATGCTCATCCCTATGGCCAGGATGGTAACAGGGCCTATTGTTACCAGTTGAAGAATGGGAAGAGAGAAAACAGCCACTGCATCACTACACAGAGTTGTGATTTTTCAGCATGGCAACATCCTTGCACATGGAGCTCTTTCTTTGTTTTAACAATTGCCATATGAGAAATCTCCAAGAATAGGATTACTGCCATGGTGCTTTCCAGAAGCCATAGAACATGTTTGGGGTTTCCAAGGCTGTTTACATCTAATATCTTATTATCTCTCTCTCTCTCTCTTACACACACACACACACACACACACACACACACCAGCAAAAACAGTAAGTGACAAAAAAGGAACCAGAGACACAGAGAGGTTGAGCTACAGATCCAGGGATACACAATGGATGAGAACAGAGGTGAACCTAGAGCCCTGTCTTCCCGATTCCCATTCCAGGGCTCGCCGGATAGACAGCACAGTCAAGGTTTAGACTAGTGGTAGGAGGGCTGAAGCTCAGGCCAATTAAGGGAGAGAGCTTCGTCTGCTGTCTTCCCCTTGGAGGAGGTGGGCCAGCCCCCTCGAGGAGAGGGACGCGCAGTGCCTGCCTTCGGATCCCGATCGAGCTCTGATGGGGGATGTCCCCCCGCTGGACCTGCAGTCCTCCCAGAGAGTACTCGCGGCCCGCAGCTCTTCCAGGACACTGTGAAGATGCCTCAGCGTGAGCAGGAGCCTCTGGTCTTGGATCTGCATTTCAGACTGGGAGAGAGAAGGAGTCTATGAGAAAGCGCGCAGAGCACGGGGGTTTCCCCATGCACCCCCTTCCCAGCACTTCGGTGGAGGCAGGTCCACTTGGGAATTGCGCACCTTGCATAAGCCGCGTCCACCAAAGCCTTTTTCTTCCTCTACAGAGTAGAGAGCAAATGACTTACCTTTCAAGCTCTTACAAGCACTGAATGAATTAGCCCACCAAAAACACACTCTAAAATGTGGTGTGCATAAATCCACAATATCCTTTCATTCTCACCGAAACAGACAAATCATTTTATAGCTATTAAGGTGATAGTGGCTTCATATTAAAATGAATTGAAGTAAACTCGCAGGCAGGAATCCTTTTGAACAGTGATTCTCAACATGAAGTCTGGGAGCTATGAGTCCCCAAAACCCTCTTGAGGGATCAGCAAGGTCAGTATTTCATTACAATGCTAAGGTATCATTTCCCCTTTCCGCTTTCATTTCCTTATTCGCATACAGTGGAGTTCTCCAGGAGCTAATCTGTTGAGACGTACTATCTCAGCGGATTGGATGCAGAAGCGGCTATGAAGTTCCAGCTGTCTTCTATTAAGTCAAACATTAAAGCACTTACCACACAGTGTAAAACAGTGCCACTCTTCTCACTAAATATTTGCTTTGAAAAATACAGCTCTTTTAAATAATATTTTATTGGGGCCGCCAGGTGGCTTGGGGGTTAAGAGTGCTGGACTCCCACATGGCTGATTGCAGTTCAAGTCCCGGAACTGGTGACTTTCTTTCTCTCTCTCTATCCCTCTATGGTCAAATTGAAATAAATAAATGAATGAATAAATAAAAAGTTAAATAAAATAATTAAAAAATAATATTTTATTAACAAGCGATGAGTTGAGTATTGTTTCTTTAAATGCACTAATAAATAAATAATAAAAATTCCTCAGCTTTCATTTGTAACTCAATATTAACAGATATGACACATAAACCAAGGTTTGTTGGTGTCCCGCATAATTTTCATAAGCATTAAGGGTCTGAAGACCAAAACGTTTGAGAACACCTGCGTTATCACTTACCCATCTTCACTCTTTCTCCTATTTTTCCTTAGAGTTTTTGTCCCCCGCACATTTGATCTCTTTTGCTTTCTTTTTTAAAAAATGTTAAAAATGTTATTTTCTGATTAGATCTTTTTTTTCTTTTTTTGGAGAGGTTTTTGCTATAGGGCGTGTGCGCTCGCCAAACAGACAGAGAGAGACAGAGAGACAGAAAGCGAGAAATCACCCCCCAGGGGGGATGGCCACGCTGCAATCCCTTCTTCTCCATTCTCCTCTTGGGATCATGGGCGCGCACGCGCCTGGTGTGAGTTTTAAGCCACCGGGTCCGGGACGTGAACCACGGTTGACTGCGTGGGAGTCCAGCGACACAGCCATTACGCTAACTGCTGGTCCCTGATTAGATCATTTTAACATATGATACAAATTGTTTTAGACTTTTATTGGTGTTTTATTTATTTATTTAAATGGCCAGAGAGTGTGTGTTCTTGCCAGAGAGAGACAGAGTAGGAGAAAACACCCTCCGGTGGGGTGTGGTCAGGCCACATACCTTCTCCTTCATTTCTCCATCTTATTAGGATTTGGGGCACAAGAGCACACATGCCCTCCATGTTTTTCAAGACACTGGGGTTGGGATTTGAACCGCAGTCAGCCTTTGGGATCCAGCTCCCTTAACCACTAGGCTATAGGGCTGGCCAATACAAAATGTAAAAGTTACTAAAGGGCATAGGGTTCAAAATCTCTTCTACTCCGTTCCACTCCATCCCACAAGGGAAGGGTCCTTTGCCAGAGAGAGCTATGGGAAATGACTCCTCGTTTTCCCTTCCAGAGCTGGTTGAGGCATAGCACACAAACAGATTCTCGGTCTCTTTCTATCTCTTTTTAAACAGTAAATATTAATGTATTTGTTCATTAGAAATAGTGTTTTGTTTTCATGGCAAACTTGTCACTTTACAAAGGAGAAGACCAAGTTTATGTTCTCTACTCAAGCATAAATGATGCTGCTGAGAGTAGGAAGCAAGAAAGAGAAACTTAAAGGTGAGGGTGGAGGCGGCCTCCTTGAGAACATTGAGATTCCCCAGGCTGCAAAGAGGTCACGAGGCCATCCCTTCCTACTTCCTAGGAAAACATCCCATCTGTGTCTTCTCAGTTTTAGGGTTTTTCTCCCACATCTTTCTTTGTCCACCCGTCAGCGTCAGCTCTGGGGATGTGCTTGTGAGAAGGCAGAGGGCGCCCAGAGTCACAACAAAGTTAAGGGAAAAAGCAGACAGAATGCTTTGTTCACTCTTCGGGAGAGATTTTTACAAGAGGCCATATGTGTGCTCACCAAAGAGAGAGATGGAGAGATAGAAAACAAGAAATCACCCCCTAGGGGGGATGGCTATGCCACAATCTCCTCTCAGGATTTTGGGCACACACACACATGCACCCAGCATGAGTTTCAAGCTGTCAGATCCAGGACTCAAACTGCAGTCAACTACATGGGAGTCCAGCACCTTAACTACTATGCTACCTACTGACCTGTTTTTGGCTTTGAGGACAGGAAACTCTGCCCAAACTGGCCTCAATGGTAGGGAAGTGAATTCTCTCACAAAGCATGAGGTCCTGAGGTGAGCTGGGCTCTGAGCTCGGTTTGCTCACTCTCTGTGGTGCAGAGCTTTGTCCTCCTGCAGAATGGACAGGCTCTCCGGCAGCAGGTTGCTTTGCCTTGTCACAAGAGGTTTGAGCTCTCCTCCCTGCCACACACACAACTTTTATTTTTAATTCCTGAGGGTGCCTGTGCTCTCCAGAGAGAGACACAGAGAGATAGAAAGAGAAGAAGAGGAAAAGGCAACCCACAAAGGGCCATGTCATGCCATAATCCCTTCTCCTCTGTTTCTCTATCCTGCTGTGATTTGGGGCATGCACATACATGTGCTGGGTGTTTCTCAAGCCACCAGAGCCAGGATTTGAAATGCAGTTGGTCATGTGGGATCCGGCTCCCTTAACCTCTAGGCTATCGGGTTGACCCTCTCTCCCCTCTTGTAGACCCTACGAGGATTTGGGGGCCCACAGGGTCCCAGGAAAAGAGAGAGAGAGAGAGAGAGAGCACCAGACTTTTGTCCATGATGTTCACTAGCCTTTCTGATTGATCCCAGGGTTGGTCCTTTCCTGACAACAGTCAAGCAGGGCTGTCTGGGTAGGCTGCAGTGAAGCCTTATGGAAATGTGTGACTTCAATGTGATTGGAGCTGGAAGCAAGCTGGACTGGCAAGGTTACAAGTCAGGGCTCAAAAAGAGGAGGCTCAAGGCTCCCCATCTGTGAGCATCGGAGAAAAGGAGGTGCTTGGGTCTGGGAGGCTGTGCTCTAGATCCTCCCTCTGCTTCCCTCTCCCTCTTTGTGGGGTGAGACAGGAACATCAGTGGGCAGCAGGCACGCAGGTTCACTCGGCACACAGTCTCAGTCTGGGTACCCGCTGCTTCAGGGACCATAGGAAGGCCAGTTGCCTAGCTCCATGTACCCCAGGACTGTAAGGAGCTGCAGCCTCTGCTGCTGGAGTCTTTGGCCCCATAAGAAGCCCTATTGGGTCAGCTCTCTCCTCTGGGGTGAAGACAGTGTAGGGTCCCAGCTGACATGCTGCCTGGCAACTCAGAAAGGTCATTTTCAGGCAACCCTATCTGACCCTGCCCAGGATGAGAAGGGGTCACATAGATGCACACCTCTGAGTTTCCCTGAATCCTCCTTCTCTGATGGCTAGTGCCCCCATGTACTTGGGGCACTCATCTTTGTTTGGAGTTGGAGAAAATACCGGGCACCTATCTGTGTTTGGACTTGGAGAAAATACTGCAGTGAAGGGCGTAAGGCCTGGGACAGCCTTCCCGAGCAGCCACCCAGGGACCAAATAACATCACACATACGTTCA